TCCTTTATCCAAACGTCATATTTTGAAAACGATTTCTTAACGTATTCTAAGTGAAATTTTTATTTTGCGGGACGGCTGCCGGCGATGTTTCGCGCGGAACAGAGATGCAACGTGTCGGCAGACGGCAATGCCCATCGACGGAAACATGACAATCGTGATTGATGCCAGATTGAAACGTCAAAATAAATTTCACACCAAAAGACGTTCGTAGGGTCGCGGATTGTTGTTATTTCATCTTTCTACGCCTCTTTTAAACTTTAATACATAGCTACCCTACGATATATACAGGTATTTATTTATCATTACGTTTTTATTTACTTTTTTTCTTAGCTCTACCACTACGGTATACCAGCTGAATGTATCTCGATCTGCTGTAAGTATCCACTAAGAGTTATATATTTCTTTCTAATTTTAAAGAAAACAGCAGTACGTAAATCCCTTCACCTTTGTATTAGTACATTTGCTTCATTAATTACTATATTACATTCGTATTATTCCACAAACGTCAAAAGTTGCGAATTATTGAAATAAGTTGGAGCTAAAGACTTCCAGGTCGTGGAATGTTATTTGTCTGTTTTATACCATTGTGGATCTTTCGCGGACGATTTTGTGGCAGAATACAGATACAGACGACAAACTTCACATAAAGACGTTAGTGCAGCGGTGAGGATGGGATAACCTAAGATTTATTGCTTACATATCGCCGCAGTTTAATTATATATGTTTTTAAACCTTTTCATAAAGAAAAATATATACATTTTCAAACACTTTTTTCTACAGTGTCTAAAAAAATTGCGTTGAAGCTCGAACGGTCAGGAATGTTCTGTATAATTCAAAAATTTATTGATTGCAATATTTTTATGACAAATCGTATCTTATTAACCAGATGTTTTGTACTGGATGTTTCATAAAACTGACACAGGTGGACTAGGCTTTTCTATTCTTTTTACTTTTTTTACTTTCTCTACTGAAATGTTTTGAGGAAAACTGTCCATTCGCTTTTTGGAAAATCCATATACTGAGTGTTCCACAAAATTGAGCCAGGTCAGACTCATCGTTTTAAACCTTTCTATAACAAAAAATATAAAATTTCAAATATGTTTTTTATATACAGTGTCTAAAAAATTGAGTTGAAAGTCGAACGGTCCAGAGGCTTTTCAGTTTATTGATTGCAATATTTTTATGAAAAATCTTATATAGTAGTAATCGTATGCTGTTTGCAAAGGTATGTACCGAATGTTTCATAAAAATGACACAGGTGAACTTTGATTTTACTTATCTTTTCACTTTCCCTATTTTTTTTTTAAATCTTTTGATGAAAGTTATATAGTTACTAACCAAAGGTTTTTTTGAAAATCCATATACTGCATGTTCTACATAATTGACCCAAGTCAAAATTATCGGTCTAGAGGCTTCTGTATATTTCAGAAATTTATTGTAGCAATATTTTTATGAAAAGTCTTATATTGTAGAACTCAGAGGCATTTTGCAAATTTATATATTAAGTGTTTCATAAAAACGACACAGGCGAACTAGGATTTTTTTCTCATTTCACTACCTACCTAATTTTTCAAATAGATATTTCTACACATGGTGTCTTATTAACCAAATGTTTTTTGCAATTTATGTACAGGATGTTTCATAAAACTGACACAGGTGGACCAGATTTTCTCTGATTCATTTTGTTAATTTTTTCATGAAATCTTTTGAAGAAAAGTTGTATATTTACTGACCAGCAGCTTTTTAGAAAATCCATATACGTACTGGGTGTTCTACAAAATTGATCCACATCTGAAACGGGCAATTTTTTTCCTTTTCACTTTTAACTTTGTCTTTATTTATTAGTCTTTTAATAAAAAATTGTATACTTATTAACCAGTTGTCTTTTTGAATTTTTATACTGAGTATTGCACAATACTGATGCAGATTAAAATTATGAATAGAACTAAACTTTCCTTAATGTTTTTTCCTTTTCTATATTTTGTACTGAAGTCTGCAATATTTTTATGAAAAACCTTATACCCGACTAACCAGATGTTTCTTGCAATTTATGTACAGGATGTTTCGTAAAACTTACACAGGTGGACTAGATTTTTCCTTATTCATTTTTTTAATTGTTTCTTTAAATCTTTTGAAGAAAATTTAAAAATCCATATAATAGATGTTCTATAGAATTAAGGGCAATTTTGTTTCTTTTCACTTTTAGAATTGTCTTTATTTACTACAGTCTTTTAATGAAAATTTGTATAAGTATGTGTTAACCAGTTGTCTTAATTTATTTTTTTACCATTTCTGCCTTGCCTACGTAATCTTTGGATGAAAAATTTTATATTTACTAACCAGATGCCTTTTTTGGAAGTTTGAAAGAAACTTTTCCCCAAGGGCCGAAGGCCCGAGAGAAACGCCAAACTCCGCGTTAGCGGAGTTTGCCTGCCTTTCTAGTTTCTGTCTTAAAATGGGATGACAATCTTGCCGATGACAATATTACAGTATTCACAGAGGGTACAACTTCTTAACACTAGTGATTCTTACAGTAACTTGTGTAATGCGATAGTCGAATCTGCGCATAATATGGATATGATCAAAAAGTACTCCACTAACACTATTATCTCTTTTTTTTCTCCAAAGAAACCATGGTATGATGAATGAATTAAAATTGAATATTTTTATATTAAGAAAGAGTACTTACTAGGAGTTGATCAAATATAAAAAAATATTTGTACGATAAATCTGTTGTTTCTGGCTAGCTGACTAGCTGCTGCTAGTGATCAGAGTGTGTTCTGGAAGACTCTAAAAAGCTTTCGTACCAATATTAAGTTTACAACCCTTTCTATTTCGGTATGATAACAATTCTATGAATATGTTTATCCTCAGAGGATATGTGACAGCACACTATTTTTTAACGCTAAAGATCTAATTCTTGATGTACCAATTAGTCTCCCTGAAGGTACTCTCGTTCGTTATAAAAGAACTGGCGGTTATATCTATGTACTGTATGTATACAGGGTGTAACGTAAAGGTTGGGAATAAATTAAACGGTAAATTTTTTATTTAGAAAAATAAATATTTGTCATATGAAGTTATGCTCTGCGGGTTTTCTTTTCAAAGCAACAGGGCGCTAAAAAATTTCAAAACATTTAGTATTTTAATATCATTTTCAATGCAAAAGTCCTTTTTCCATGCATATTTGACCATGTTCGATGGCTGAGTCAAAGCATACTTCATAATTTTTTTGTTATTTTTATTTTCCAATGTTGGCAGTGGGAAAAATAAGTGGTGTATTTACAAAAGTTTTGTTTACGGAAAAATTATCGAGCTACAAATAAAACGCAAGAGGGTAATTTTGTTTAAAATAAAAAGTTGATCATAAAAAAATATTAAAAAAATATTTTTACCATTGACGTACTAGTATTTTGTTCTAAAAACATTACGGAACAATCCGTACGCACGCCACTGAGTAACTTACAAAGTCAATCTTTTTCCTGTTACTAGGGGATTATCAAATTAAGCTAATGCTAAAATTTCTTTCCATTATCTTATAATGTTCAAAAGTTATTGGAGATTAAACTAAATTTTTGGAAACTTTTTAGCGCCCTGCAGCTTGGAAAATAAAACCCGTAGAGCATAACATCATATGAGAAAAATTTATTATTTAAACCAAAAAATCCACAGTTTCATTTATTCCCAACCTTTACGTTACACCCAGTGTAATCAAATTCTAGCTGATGATAACACACCTTTAGCTTGGTCTAGTGTGATTCTAACAATGCTAATAATCCTTCTAATTATCGCAGTATTGCATTGGTTAATTGCCTTGCTATTTTCACTAATATTTTACTTTCTCGACTAACGAATTGATGTGACTTAAATAACGCCCTACTTGAGTGTCACTCCGGTTTTAGTAAAAATCAAAGTTTTATTGAAAATGTTTATGTTCTCAAGTTGTTTCATAGGGGTATTGGGAAAGTTGTATAACAATGCTCGTATTAGAGTAAAATTTGGTGACGAGTTTTCCAAATAGTTTGACTTAAGAAACAGGAGTTTTGCAGGGTGAATCTCCAAGTCCAATTTTATTTTCACTTTTCAATACTGATATTGAAGATTTTTTAGATCCAATGACTTTTACGACATTCTAATGTTGCTATACGCAGATGACTTAGTAATCCTTGCTGATTCACAGATTAACTTGGTTAATAAACTTGCTTTACTCGAAAAATTTACAACAAAACTAACTGTAAATGCCTTTAAATCTAAAATACTTTGCTTCCCTATTTTTCTCCAATAATCATAGAACTGAATTGGTAAATAAGTTTTCCTATTTAGGAGTTGCATTTGTTTCCTCTCCTTTGTTCCGTGAAATGGCTGAATCTACAGTTGCAAAAACGAAACAAGTTATTGGATCAGTTCTTTCCATTATATCTCGGTCTAAAATGTATTCCTGGAAATCTCGCATGCAGCTATACAACAGTATAATCATTAACTCACTTACTAATTGTGTTGCTGTGTAGAGTGTTCGTTATAGTGATACACTTGAAAGAATTCAGGTGGGCTTTTTTAAAAGACTGCTTCTTTTCCCAAAGAATACTGCTGATTGTACGGTACGACTTGAAGGTCTTTCTTACATTGTACTGAAATCTTGTCTTAAATGGCTACGTAAATTACTAGCTATGGATAAAAAACGATATCATTATCTATGTTTTATGCGCCAAGTGCCGTTATTAAATACTGACTCTAGATTTAATTGGCTGTCACAAATTATCCTCTCTTAGGGGTAAATGATTTGCAGATCAACTTAAATACGCATAATCTGGCACAGAGTACTAATACTCTTTTACGTACATATGAGAACATCCTCCACTATAACGGCAACAAACAAAACAAACAAAATCCTCAGTTTTATTTGTATTTAATATGTATTTAATTTTAACTAGCTATCCGAAAAATTATCTAACCTTCGGGTTACCAATACATATTGATATATATATATATATATACCCTATTGAAGTATGCACCATTTGTAATACTTTTTGATTTACACTTGAACATATGTTTATTAAATGCCCTATATATGAACATTATCCCCAAAAGTCCTAAAACTGCTAAGATGCTGTGCACGTTTGTAATGGGTGTACTTGAGCTTCGTGCCTTTATTTTAAACGAGTAATTGTTTTCTTCTATACTTTCCCTCACTTCTTAATTCTTTCTTTTTTTATGTTATGTAATTGTAAATTAGGGTAATTGACTTTTTCTTCTTTTTTCTCATCCTAAAATTGTATATGTTAGGAATTTAGGTTAGGTTAGTAAGTTTTGTTAGAAAAAGAAGAAAAAAACTGTCAGTATGTATGTAAAAAATGTCTATGGTTGTATCATTTATGTCAACGTAAAGAAAACGTCATTTAAATAAAGTATTGTTCTTATCACCGTATTACCTATTTATGCAAATAGAAAAGGAGAACGTCGAAGGCAATTAACGACGGGTAGTTGTCTGATGTCTCGACATAGTTTTTTTTTAATAATCTACATAAGAGTGAGGACTGCGTGAAAGCGCGTAAATCAGTTTGGAATATCAGAGAAAACAGTTAATAGAGAAACGAGCGTGTTTTCGGTGTCTTATGTAAGATTACATGGCAAAATAGTGTCGCGTGCGCCTATGATGTGTGATTTGTTCGCGATCACATGTACCAATTATTATGTATCCACAATTACCTTCGAATAAAACCGTTGAGGACAGTGTAAATCCTGTTACGGAACAGACTCTTGCCAATTGTACCAAACGTGTTTTTACATACTCTAAGGGTAAACTTAAAGGGGTCAGAGAAAGGTCTTGCGTTTCGCGAGCTTTAATCGACAGTGGGTCCCAGAGGTCCTATATTCTAAAATCTACAGCCATGAAGTTAGGATATAGACCTAAACGAACAGAAAGTATTGTCTATTGTCTATTTGGCGGAAAAACCATGACACAAATTCATAATAATTGTTCTGATGTTACTACAAGGGTAGTTATTTTTTAACATCTGCAGTTCTTAACCAGCCTGCTATTTGTACCGATATTTTACCAGTTTTCGATGGTACTTGGGTGGAAGAAGTTCGCAGTTTGAATATTGAACTTTCCGATATAAATAAAATTGGACCAATCGAACTGTTACTTGGAGGAGATGTGGCTGGTAAAATCTATGGTGGTGACTATAAAGAATTGAAATGTGGTCTAGTTGCTACCAAGACATGTCTGGGGTGGACTCTCATGGAAAAAGTTTCTACTGAGGAAAACATCGATTGACAACCTTGTTGATAAAACAAGCATGAATCATCGAATTATGACGGCTTGATGTTTTGGGTATCACCGAACCTTCCGAAAGGAAAACCAGGGAGGAGTTAGTCGATGATGCTAAGGATTTCTTTCTGCGTACTGTGAAGATAAATCAGGGGAGGTATGAAGTGCGGCTGCCGTGGATCGCCCGGCACCCTCCACTCCCAGATAATTATAACCTCCCCAAAAGGTGATTACAGTCACTATCAGAAGACTAGAGAACGAGAACATGACGGAAAAGTATAATCAGATTTGGCTCTCGATGGGTCATAGAGGAGCTTGCAGATAATGTAGGAGTTTTACCAGTTCAGCCTCATAGGGCTGTGGTAAGACTGATCAATGATTGTCGAGAGAAGGGCCCAAATTTAATTGAGGAAATAATAATAATAATAATAATAATAATAATAATAGTGTTTATTAGCCAATTGGATGTACAAAAAATATATATATACCCATATGTATACGAGTATAATAATTATAATACTTAATTAAGTTACCCTAAATAATTAATAATGTCTATATCTACATATTTGTTGTAATAAACACAATACTCACTTAAGTGATAAAACTTGAGAGTGAGAAATGAGTAAATCACAGGTTATCTCATTTAAGACACAAAAGCATGTATAGTATATTTACAACGACACAAAATAATAAAAACAAACTAACATCAAAATTAAAAATACATTAATTTAGTAACAATATAACAAGAATTACAAGAAGCTAAAATGTCTACATATGCAGATTATACAGTACAATAACTATTCGGATTTTTGTTTTAAACCATTAACTGATGAATAACTGTTCTGCTGGTTTGGAGAAGATGCCCTTTCAGTAAGTATTTGTATTTTTTTATACTCTTAATTTCCTTTAATTTTCCAGGAACTGTGTTGTAAATTTTTGGAGCCAGGTATCGATAACTATGTTGTCCTTTTGCGGTGTACATCAATGGAATTACTACACATTTATCCTTAGATCGAGTATGATAACAGTGTTCAATATTTTGAAAATTATTTTTCTCAGCGTGAGTTTTTATTGCAACTTTGAAATAATATAATTGCTTAATATCGAAAATTTGTAATTCCTTATACAACATTTCAGAAGGGTATGTTCTTTCCTTATTTAACATAGATTTCATAATTCTTTTTTGTAGCACATTTATATCGTGAATATATACATCATCAGCTGCCCCCCAAGCAATTATTACATAACTAAGATGGCTTTCTATCAGCGCATAATATATTATTTTTAATTGTTTTATTGTTAAAAAATATCTTATTTGTCTTATTTTACAAAGTACGTATCTTAGTTTCTTTTTCAGGACTTCAACATGAGCATTCCATCTCAGATGACTATCCAGTGTTACTCCTAAGTAGGTGACATTTTCTTCTGATTTAATAATAAGGTTATCACTATTCATGTTTACTTTTAGGCTATGGAAATCTGGGAGAGTACCACTAAGGACGGAAAAAGGTAAGTATACAGTTTTTGTCTTATTAATGGTGAGTAAGTTATTAGAATACCATGTAAGTATGTTCTCCATATCTTTTTCAGCTTTTATTTTCAGGTCATTCCAAGATTGTTCCTCATAATAAATGGCAGTATCATCAGCAAAAGCGAGTATAGTTCCACTTGTTTCAACTTCAAATAAATCATTGATATATATATTGAACAAGAGAGGTCCTAATACGGTTCCTTGCGGTACGCCGCATGTGATGTCGTGAAAACTGCTTTTAGCGTCATTTATTTGAACGCATTGCTTCCTTCTCGTGAGGTAAGACCTGAATAAAGTTTGACATAATCCTCTAATACCAATATCATCCAGTTTTTGTAATAGTAAAGTGTGAGATACAGTATCAAATGCCTTTTGGATGTCAACAAATATACACAAAGATTTTGTTCTTCTATCAAGCGATTTATATATTTTTTCAGTTAACATGTTAATTGCATCCTGAGTACATTTCCCCTCTTTGAAACCAAATTGATTTTTAGATAACAATGCATTTTTTTTAAGATATTCTGTTAGTCGATGTTTTATGATTTTCTCAAACACTTTGGATAGATTTGAAATAAGAGAAATCGGTCTATAGTTTCCTAGGCACATTGAATCGCCTTTTTTAAACACTGGTTTTACAATAGATATTTTGAAGTGAGATGGACATTCACCTGTTTGAATTATTTTATTTATTATATGTGCGAGAGGATTAGAGATTCCATTTTGAATCTCTTTGAGTGTGTCAGCTGCTATTCCATCGATGCCTGGCGCTTTCTTATTTTTTAGAGAATTAATTGCTGACTTTACTTCAACTACATCAGTTGGAAAGATGAACATTGTTTCTTTATGTTCACTCTTTTTAATTTTAAGTTTAACGTTATTTGAAATAGTGACAGAATTCGTCAATTTTTCCCCTATTTGTGTAAAATAATTATTAAATTCTTCAGCTATTCCTATATCACTATCTATTATTTGATCATTATTTTTCCTAATCCTTGTAATCCTATTGGCATTATTCGATTTATCATTAGTTACTTTGTTAACCACTTTCCACAGATTCCTTGGGTCTCCTGGATTATCGTATATTTGTTTTGTATAAAAATTTGATTTACTTACGTTGATTAACTTTGTTACTTTGTTCCTATAGCTCGTATATTCATGTCTTAGATTTATATTTCCAGGATCTTTTAATAATTTTTTCCTCAAATCATTCTTTCTGTTTATCGACTTTACTAACCCTTCCGAAATCCACTCTTTCCTTTTTCTATTATTACTGTTTATCTTAATGTTTGTTGTAGAATTTTGTATTTTTTGTTCCAAAACTTTTACAAAATAATCAGTTGCCGATTCTGAATTTTCCAGTTCATATAACTCTTCCCAGCTTACTTCCATTAAAGATTGTTTCAGATTATCAGTATTTAGAATTTTTCTGTAATACGGTTGTATTTTTGACATCTTAATATTTTGTTCTGGGAAAACAATCTGTAGTGCCGTCATAAAATGATCTGTTACATGCGTCCACACAACAAAAGGAATTATATAATCAAGCTCCGTTTTCGTCTTCACAAAAGCATGATCCAGGCAAGTGCCTCCTTGGTCATTTATTCTAGTGATTTTATTTATAGCGGATATATATGAGTTTTCAGACATAATATTCAAGTAGTCATTTGTAAAATCTTTATCTCTTAAAATATCAATATTTATATCGCCCATTATAAATATATAATCATGATAATTACGGCAATTGGTTAATAATGTTTCGAGGTCTTTATTAAAAGCAAAGGAACAAGATTCTGGGCTTGGGCTCCTATACATTACAAAAATTTTAATTTTTTTGTTGTTGAGTGTCAGCGATAACTCTATTACATTCATGATATCACTTATTTTCCGTATATTGAAACAATATTTGATGCTACTTTTGATATATATCATCACTCCATCTGCCTTGTTAAACTTTCCATGATTATAAATAATGTCGTAACCCTGCATTTTATAAACATCTGTATTTTCAATTTGCCATGTTTCAGTAAGTATAATGCAGTCTATATCCGTCTTCATTTGTTGCATAGTAATTTTAAACTCATTTAGATTTTTGTTAATACTTCTAATATTCTGTTGACAAACTGTAAGATTTAAATATTTTTTATTTACAGATAGGACCTTGTCTAATTCAAGAACAGAGTCCAATTCATAAGTTTCAACAGTTTTTATTTTAAAGTCTCGTAAATATGGATTCATATTAATTCTACAATAGTAATATAAGGAAGAAGGACTCGACGGGGATACTCTTCTTGGTCGAGGGGTCAATCACGACAAGTAACACACACAAGGTAGACCACGGAATACAGAGACAGAAGAGAAACAGAGGATTTTTTTTAATATAATATGAACAAAACAGTATGCAAAGCGATAAAAGCACATTAAATAATATAAAACTAAGACTTCTTATTAATAGAGGTGGC